AAGCTTTAGAGCTCTAAAAAGCTCTAAAGATTTTTATGTTAAATCCTAAATCCTCAGAACCTTGACCAGTGCCTGGCACATAGTAGCACTTCATAAATATTTGTTGAATGCAGGAGCACTGGTTTCATTGAAGAGATTGGTGAGTCAGAGTGTGTTGGAGGGTTTCTCTTCCATGGAAGATCTTGTGGCTTTTGGAGGGACCAAGCAGATCCAAATCCTGTGAGGAGGGAATTGACATTTTTTTGTTTGTTTGCTTTTTGTTTCCTCTTACAAAGAGGAAACGTGGACTTGTTGGACACAAATCACCATGGGTTCTAATTTAGGAACTTTGGGCTGGGCCCTAGGTATTATGTTTACCACAAGTTGCTGCTGCTGCTCCTTGGCTTATGTTCTAAGTCACAAAGATTCAAGGCTTCCTCTCACGAATGACACCAGCACATGCAATATGAACTCAAACATGGTTTCATGGAAGGTATCCCTTCTTGTCTGTCCCTTTCTTCAATCTCCATGCCTCTCTGAGTCCTGTCCTCTCTTCCTAGGTAGCTCCCTACCCCCAAATACCTTGTCTCTATACCTTCCTTTCTTTAGCCTTTCCACCTCCAGCACTTTCACCTTCTTCCTTCCCTATTGGTCCCTCCATAGCAATTCTGCCAAGACTTGCTGATCAAAATAGCCAGCCTTAATATTTCTCCTTTGTTTTGTAGCCTAATAGTTAAAGAAAGGTGATCTTCTTCATGAACCCCCTCACCCCAGGTAAGATGGATTCTCCCCAATCTTATTTAATAACCTGAAGAAGCAACTTCTTATGTCTGAATGTATAGGCTGTGCACCTCTGTCTTCTGCAGTTATCTGTTATTGCCAACCAACTCCTTCAATAGCTTCTTCCTCTTACTTGTCACAGCTTTCTGCCTACTGCTGGTCTGTGATGATGCCTACTTCTTACGCCTCTGAAACTTTACTCATTTAAAAATTGTTTTTAAGTTATCATTAAGTAGTTGTACAAAGGAGTTGCCATTTAACAAAGCTGTTTATGAATACTGTGTCCTGATCAATTTGGCCCCTTTCAACATTTTCACCCATCCCTCCCCCACCCACCCCTTCCCTCACTCTTCCTAATTTTGCACACATTTTGTCCACATTTCCCCCTATGTGCCTCTGCATTTGTTATCCCTTTCTGCCTGACTCCACCTCACTCCTTTTGAGTGCACACTGCCTGGTGTTTTATTTGATTTGGCCTTTCCAAGGAATAATACTTTTAGAACTCCTTTGAATCTATCATATTTCAGCTAATATGTTTGTATACACTTGCATACCACCGACTTATGAGTTTATAAGCTAAATCTAGCTCTCACATATAAGAGAAAACATGGCTCCTTTGTCTCTGGGCCTGACTTACTTCATTTAAGATAATTTTCCCCAAATCTTTCCATTCTTCACAAATGGCACAATATCTTTCTAATGCATGAGCAAAATTCTAGTATGTATATATATCTATATGTGTATCACAACTTCTCAATCCATTTGTCCACTGAGGTTCATGTGGGCTGTGGTAAATGCAATGAACATGATTGTGCTGGTAGCTTTGTTGTATGTTGGTTTGTAATCTTTTGGGTAAATGCTCAGGAGTGAAACTGCTGGATCATAAGTTAGTTTGATGTTTAATTTTTTTGGAGGAACCTCCATCTCCATACTATTTTCCAGAGTGGCTGACCAAGTCTAAAATCCCACCAACAGTGTAGTCGAGTTCCCTTGTGAAACTTTATTCATAGCTCCTAGACTTCAGCCCTTGCTCTCTGCCTTCTGATCTTTCTTCAGTTCCAACTCCACTCATTCCATATTCCTATCTACTATCTCTGAGGAAAACTCCAAATATCACTTCTCACTGAATTACCGTTTCTTTTCTTTTTTGGGGGAAGGGTCTGGTCTTAGGGCTTGAACTCTGGGCCTGGGCGCTGTCCCTCAGCTCTTCAGCTCAAGGCTAGAGCTCTACCACTTGAGCCACAGCGCCACTTCTGGCTTTTTTCTTTTTGCTTCTGTGGTGCTGAGGAATCGAACCTAGGGCCTCAGGCATGCAAGGCAAGTGCTCTACTACTGAGCCACCTTTCCAGACCCTGAATTACCATTTCTGCATGCTCAAGACTCCATGGGACATTCTTGCTTGGAAATTCCACCAGAATTCTGGGTCCTGTGTCTTTAGAACCCTAGTTATTCCCTTTGTTGCAAGCTATCCTCCTCACCCTTAGATGTCTCTGTTTCCAAAAGAATCTATTCTCCATTCTGTCCTATGCTGAGTAATCATACGAGAATGACTTACCTACTCTGAACAATTTCTACACCACTAAATAGGGATAATGGTAGTTATCAGACTGGGTTGTCACAAGAACTTATTGAGTTAATGCATGCACAAGGTTCTTGGAAAGTGTTGTTATTTTCCCTTTGTCTCTTCCTGGCCAGATGATTAAAAATACCTTATCTGTTCAGTTCCCTTAGTGCTTAGGTGGTTCATCTTCTCTGGCAAGTGGAGGTTGGGGATAAGGAGATGAGGCTTAAGAGAAAATCTAACCACCTATCTCATCTTTAAAGAAGGCAGAATAGTGCAGATTCTTGCTCTGCAGTGACACACAATAAATAACACTCAGGGTGCTATAAATTTATGGATATTATTATGGAATCCCTATGTCCCATCTACATGCATCTGCTTTCTAGTGCTGGTATTCATTTTATATTCTAGGGCTTAGCGTATTGAACTCTACGTTCATACCAAATGCAAGGTTTTTGCTTTGAATTGCACCTGAACTACAAGTATTTACATATTTGCCTTCTCTATTTCCATCCTCTCATCTCTGATTCTACCACAGTGCCAAGTGTAGCATAAATTCAGCCTCCAGTGACAGTGCTAGTTGTAATGGCTAATTTATGGAGGGAGTGATGTGTACAGAGATACTTTTGGGCACCACACACCCATTCCATGACAGTCTGTGGGAGATATGATGAGCTGCCAACCAGGAAGAACTACTTATGCCCAGACCCTTAGAGTTTCTGAAAGGAGAAAGAAAGAAAATGAACATATGGTCGCTGACTTTGGGCCAGGTACTTTACAAACTCATTTCCTCCTCAAGGTAACTTTACACAGTTAGGCACTATTATCATTTTAGAGTCCAGAGACATGAGACTCAATGAGTTTTGAATACTTGCTTACAACTGTACAGTTCCAAGGAAGCAACAGGAATGGGCATTGATGACAGACTTGCATGAGTCCTAAAGTTCACTCTCTTTCATCCTAACAATACTATCATTTCTTATCTTTACAGTGTTCCTACCAATCAAAATGTTTATTTCTCTGGCAATGAGAAAATCAGTCCTTACATACACTGATCGCCATCTCTTGCCACATTAATGATCTAAATTACTCATCTATGTATTCCTATACCAGAGCACATATAGACACCACTCAGATGACATTTGAATTATTTGATTTTTATGCTGACCTCTGATGGGCTTGAGCACCATGAAAGTGCAGTTTAAGGTCATAGTCATTTCTCCACTCACTCTTCCTGGAATGTAATGTATATGTGTAGGCATCTGTTTATTGAGTAAATAAATGAATGAAAGGATAAATGTAAGAATGAATGAATAGACAAGTCTTCCAGGAATTCATTGATATCTATATAAACCATTGGTACCTTTATAAACCATTGTTTTACAAGCTCATCACTTGGTCCTAACTGAGAAGAGTGGATGGGGAAGCCATTTTTCTGGTTCCATCCTTGGTGATGAAAGTTTTGTCAGATGGTCACCAACAGGCAAGCCTCTCTTACAAAGCTGGGTTTGTCAGGGACAAGAAAGCCACAGAATAGCGTAGGAATATTCTTTTAATTTTTTTTGTTGGTTGTGGGGCTTGAATTCTGGGGCATGGGTGTTGTCCCTCAGCTCTTCAGCTCAAGGTTCTACCTTTTGAGCCACAGCACCACTTCCGGGTTTCTGGTGGTTTATTGGAGATAATAGTCTCACAGACTTTCCTGCCCCAGCTGGCTTTGAACCATGGTCCTCCGATCTCAGCCTTCTGAGTAGCTAGGATTATAGGCTTGAGCTACCGGTGCCCAGCAGGAATATACTTTACCAGTGTTCTGAGTTATAGTCCCACTGTTTTTTTGCTAGCTAGATCTGTAATGAGTTCCCATACCTCTCTTGGAAACTCAATTTAGAGAAATAGAACGTTCACCTTGTATACATGGGAAAAACTTAATGTGGTTTTCTAACTTTTTGTTTTAGTTTTGAGGATCTATTTGATATAGTTTCCCCCTCCCTTTCCCTCATGCTTTGAAGATCTGTGCTTTACTAATGAGAAAAATGATCACTTTTATTTAGTATGTACAAAACACTTTAAAAGGCTAGCAGCCACCTGGAACGGCAAACCAAGTGCCCTGGTAATGTAAGATGACTAAATATTGAACACCAAACAGAATTTCAGCCCCAAACAAAGACTCTGGATGGTTCTGTCACCAGTGAGCCTGAGTCTAGATAAAAAACATGATTTCCCTATAGCCCTCCTCACAATATAGCAGAAGCAACCAATAGACTCCTTTCTAACCTCCGAGGCTCTAGGGCTCAACATTCCCCAGGTAGATTCAAATGGACTTAGAAGTTCTTGAGATTCTGTGATGTTGTTCAACGTATGCAAATCCTATGGCAGGACTTGGTTCTTCTCTTGCCAGAATCCAGAATTCCTAACTAGACAATTACACTCACAAATAAACAGCCGCCTCTTACAACGCTCAAAATGGGGGAGGAGGGGTTTGGAATAAGATGGCAGAAACAAAACAGACTTGAATGATGACAGCGTGTTTTCAAATGGAAAAACATCTACGAAAAATAAGAGCTACAGGTGACTTGACAGAAGTGGGTGCGAGAAAGCAAGAGACAATCAGTTGGTGCACGGAATGCATGCCACAGGTTCCCCTATGGGGCCACGAAGCAATTAACACCGACTCGATACTTACAAGTAATAGGAGTAGGAATAAGCATTTCTTCTATATATTGATGGGCAGTCAGATGAAGGAAATGTCCAAAAAGGGGGGGGGTGGGGAAAGAAAAGACAAACAAACAAGAATTAGATTTATATGAAATCTTGATTCTTACATTATTTCAGCATCCCTCACCTCAAGGAGATGGAATTTCCCTACTAATCAGAGTCTTTGAATGGCACAGAGGGAGTGAGAAAGGCTTCACTTAATGCCACCTTATGCCAAGGAAGACAAATTTCATGGTGGGCTGCTTTCTTTGTTTGAAAAAGTTCTTCCTTTTGGCCAACTAAAACTAACTTCTTATAATTATGAATCTCGGAGGTCTTTGGGGAGGGTTCTAGAGCATCTTAGAGTCAGTGTACCATACTCCTATATAGTAGTGTTCCTCAAGATAAAAATGCAGTCATTCCTTCTCTCTTCTCTGTTTCAGGTCAAATCAGAATTTGGTAAGATCATGACAAGGCAAAGGAACATAATTCAGCCAAGGCTCCAACATGGTTCCCCAGCGATTCACCCCAGTGCCCATACCTATATATGGACTGCCCACTCTGAGTCAGGACTAGCTCTGTGTCACTAGGAGAATGTATTAGGGGTTATGTTCTAGGGTTTTTTTTTCCAAACTAGAAAAAGAAGCATTATCTGGATATTTGGAATGCTTCCTTGGAAGTTATAATCTCCATGTAAGCCCAAACTTTCCTGAAGCTACCAGGCTGGAGAGATCACATAGAAAGGCCTTCAGATCCCTAAAGAGAAAGAAAATACCAAGCTAATACCCAGCTAATCCAGCCCGAGACAACAAAGTTTTCTCAGGTAAGACCTTTGATGTCATGACAAAGAAACAAGTCACTCTCTTAAGCCCTGCCCAACATGAAGATTTATCCCAGTGATGAATTGTTCTTCTTTAAGTGACGAGATGTTGTTGGTCATCTGCTATGTAGCAGGACCAGACAAAATTCAACCTCATCATGAAAGGACATTGTACTGAGGAAGAGGGCTTTCAACTTTTGTGGGCACAAACTCTGTGCCTCTGTGTTCTCTTCTATTGCTTATACTAATTTTCAAATTGTGTTTCTAGGAGCTTGGGGGTTCCTCAGGGCAGCCTCACTGGACAGAGAAGGACACTGAGAAGATGGGGCTGTTGGTACTCAACCAGGCACCCAAACCTGAGCATCTCCTTTATTTGTTATCTATTTCATAAATAGGAGCTTTATCTCAGATACCACCTGGCTAAGAACTCAAGTCTCAAAGGAAATCACTACCTTCAATTTCTGCCTAATATTCTCACTAGCTCTTGGTTTCCGAACAATCGCAAACCTCAAATAAAGTCCATGATATTCCCCATTGGTTGTAATTTGTCTTATGTTGGAAGACAATAAATAGAATGTTTTTATTTCACATCAGGTTTCACTACACTGACATTAAGTGATCCATTTGAGGAATGGGGAAAATTGCTACAAAATTTAGGTTCCCAAATCTGAGTAAGAATAGTTTCCTTCCTTCCTGAATTATTTGATTAATTGCAACCATTATCCCATCTGCTTGTCACAGGAAGACAGCATCATTATAACTGCAGAGGCATGAACACATATTCTGATTTATACCTTTCAAATGGGAAGTGGTCTCAGCCTCAAGATAGGGCTATCTCTAGGCTTTCTCTTAACTAAGAACAAAGCCCAACCTGGAGATCCCATAGTCCCAGAAGGAAAGTGGCTGAAAGGAAAACAGACACACAAAACCCCATGGCTTCTCACCAGAATGAACTAGCAGAAATGGGTCAAAGTACAAGATCTGGCAGCCCAGAAATCTCCTGGACCAAACAAACAGTAGGTCTAGATGATGAAAGAGTGAATCAGAACGGTGAAGGATGGAGATTCAATAAGCCCATGTCAAGTCATCAGAGCCTTGCCACTAACCATGCACCTGGGCCCTATAAGTAGATGGTTCCTGAGCTTCACTGCAGTTGGACTCAGGGCCTAGAAATGTTAGTACTCAGGGATGCAACGATTAGGGTCTATTGATAAAAATTTACAAATATCTGTGGCTCTAGTTTGGATGCCCCTTCTGAGACTGAATGTGGAAACTTAATCTCCAAATCTGAGTCCATAATATTTGAAGATGAGATCTTTGGGAGGTAATGGGGATCAGATGAGATCATCAGAGGATGTGGTCCCCCTTGTTGGGGCTGGTGAGTTTATGCAAAGAGGAAGAGAGAGTGTCGTATACTTGTCCTATCTCATCATGTGATGTAGCAAGAAGACCCTCCAAGAGGCTGAGGAGATAGCAGCACCATGCCTTTAGGTTTCCAAGCCCACAGAACTACAAGAAATCATTTCCCTTCTTTACAAATCAACCAGTCTCACAGATCTCATCATATACAAAGACAGATGAAGATACCTGCATACTCCACATTTTCAAGAGCACTAGGCTGAGAACCCAGAGGATTTCAAAAGCCAATGTTGCTCAGTGTAACATCTTAGGCGAACTGACTCCTCCCCTTTAGAACTCTTATTTCGTGATCCATGTACCAAAGAGTGGGAATAGATAACCACAGCTCAAAACAGCTTTAAGGAGTGAAAACGTAAGGTTCACGAGTATGTCAATTGCAGGGCCTTGAGTAAGTCATTAAACAGTCCTGCATTCAGCTGTTTCCATCTCAATCTTTGGGGCCATAAGGTATATTCTCAAAAGTTATCATGGCCATTGATTCTAAAGTATAGTTGTCGAGATGATGTTCAAATTCGATGAGGCAGTGTTTTATGCAAATTACATCAATGTAAATTTGCATTAGGTGAGATGAATACACAGTTAGCCAACACTAAGGATGGATAAAAGATGGTACAGATGCAAAGTGTGCTGTGTTCCGGTCATGAGGAAAAGTTTTCACTTCTTTAGGGATAATAACATAGGAATAAAATAAAACTGTGTGTAGCACACTTACAATGAAATACATTTTTTTATAATGTTCTTTTTTTTTCTCAGAAGTACTTGGGGAAGGGATGTTGAACCTATCATTGGTTTGCTAAGTGCATTACCATTTAAATCCCTCCATCAGTTTGTTTGTTTGTTTGTTTGTTTTCACTGGTCCTGGGGCTTGGATTCAGAGTCTGGTGCCATCCCTGAGCTTTTGTTCTCCAAGCTAGCACTCTACCACTTGAGCCACAGCACCACTTCTGGCTTTTGTGGTTAATTGCAGCATTGGTACTCACTGGACCCTATGCTGAAAATGAACTATACAACTTGTGGGTGGGGATGGGAGGGAAAAACTGGGAGAGAGCGAGGGAAGTGAAATTGTCCAAAAAGAATGTAGTCATTACTTGCTTATGTAACAGTCACACCTCTGTACATCATCTTTATAATAACAATACATTTTATTTATTTATTTATTTTTTGGTCAGTTGTAGGGCTTGAACTCAGGGCCAGGACGCTGTCCCTGAGCCTTATTGTGCTCCAAGCTAATACTCTACCACTTGAGTCACAGCACTATTTTCCAGTTTTTGAGTGGAACTTTTCTGCCTGGGCTGACTTTGACCTGCAATCCTCAGATCTCAGCTCCTGAATAATTAGGATTAAAGGCCACTGGTGCCCAGCTTAAATACTGTTTTTTTTTAAGTGACTCTTGGACTTTTCTTTATCCTATCTGGCTTTGAAGCATGATCCTAAGATCTCAGCCTCTTGAGTAGCTATGATTACAGGCATAAACCACCAGTGGCACCTGGCTCAGTCCTCTTTTTAATTGCTTATTTCCATAACAGGGTTACTTTATGCCAGGGCTGTCCTGGACTGCAATCTTCCTATTTGTGCTTCCCTCTGTTGCTGTGATAACAAGCATGCACCACTGAACCCAAACACTGACTGAGATCCAGTTTCAAAAATTTGTATTCTCAGGGTGGCCTTGAACCATAATCTCCTGATCTCTACCTCCCAAGTAGCTAGGATTACAGGCTTACGCTACCACATTTAGCTTCTTCTCAAGTCTTTAAAAACTTGTTTTACTAGCACATATTAGTAAAACAAGGGGGGGTTCCACTGTGACATTTCCATGCACACACATAATGTACCCTATCTGACTGTTCGGATAAATGTTATTATCACCTTCACTTTGCAGATGAGGAAATTGAGGCAAAGAAAGTGAAGGCACTACTTTTAGGTTATGTACATAGTAAGATGAATTTGATATCATCATAGGTCTAAGGCTCTGGACCACCATGCTGCCTGTGCTGTCTTGAATGAAAGCAGGAAAGCAAGTTATTGATAATGGACCAGGCTGCTACTGGAGAAATCTCATGCTTTATCTCTTTTAACCCTCCCTATAGCTCTAGGGAACAGATATAGCTTTTAGTTGGGGAATCTAAGGCTCTAAAAGCTCATTTCTCACTAGGCCAAAGCTTCCATCCTGAGATGAATCTCTGCAGCTTCCACAGCCACCTCCTCTTGGACTCTAGGCTGCACTCAGTATTGTGACTTTCAACCTTCATTATTGACCTCTGTCTAAACCACCTCCTTTGGACAGCATGTTCTTTATTCACGGATTTCCTCTATAAGTAGCTTTTCTGAGTTACCCAGAGGTCATCAAAAGCCAGTGTTATCCCTGATCTGGCTTCATAGAAGCTAGAACGATGGTAACTGGCAATATTGTATTAATATTACCTTTTCTCAATTAAACTGCAAAGTCTTTCAGGGTAGCCTCTCAACTCTTTCTTCTGTGACCAAAACACAGGTTACATTTGTGTTTTCTCTAAGCTTTGAAAAAGATTTACGAAAGGTCTAAATTTATAACGATACAGTGATATTGCAAGTAGCAGATTGCCTGAAACCAAAAATCCTGAGCAGGAAGACAGCTGTGCTTAGGTGGAAAAAACAACAATAATCTAAACTTAATAAATCACATACTGCAGAAGTTTCTTTTTATCTGACTGAAAAGGTTGACTTCAGGCACAGTTTTTCTTTGTTCCATACCATTTAAACAGGACTGAGTTGCCTATCTAACCACCCATTTGACTGACCTC